TTTTGTTTTGTTTCCTTTTGTATTTTGTAAGTCCAAAATAGCCCAGCAGCTGTGTGTGTAGGTAGGCAAATCTGGGTCAATAACGAAAGACTTTGGGGAATGATGGCCCTGATTTGGTAAGGCTTGAAGACATGTAGATCTTTGAGCAGCTGCTGACAAACTATGAAAAAGTGGAGGGGTTACAAGCAGCCAGTGAATGGCAAAACATACAGATGAATAACTAGATAATACTCATTATTCCTAATTTAGTCTTTCAACCTTGAAATGAGTAGAACGTGTTACTGTTTGTTATAGTACTAGTGTTATTTATTGCTTGTCAGATGGTAGGACACAGAGATCCCATTGTGATGCTGTATAAACGTGTAGTTAAAGGACTACATTTGATATGAAAAACTCCATTTTAAAGCACCTTTTTAAAGTCCCAATAATTAACTGATTAATAAATCTTTATCTGTACCTATGGCATCCATAAAGTAGTCAATAGGTCATTACTAAACATAGCAACTTAGAACTTCTTCCACAGATGTGCTTATAAGCATTTATAGTATACCACATGCACATGTGAAACCTTCTGATAATAAGTATTAACTACTAAACCTCAGTAATTAGATTGTCAATGATAGGAAAGAACTGCCTTTTTTCTTCATGGATAGTATTAAAGAAGTTAAAGGGTGAGCATTTAGCCGTGTAGATTTAGAGGACTTTCAGGAGGACGAGGTAGGTGGTTTTGGCTAGGCCTTGAGATATGGTATCAGCAGCTGAAATGAGTCTTTATGAAGACAAATATTAAATACTTCCTGAAATCAACCAAAGTAGCTTGCTTTCTGCTGAAAATTTTCATAGGCCTTCCAGTATTCCAGTCCCTAATTTTTTGTCAATGCATGGCATATTATAGTGATATTTTTGTCATTTATACTACTGAAATTTTGATACTTGGGAGACCTAATTTGGAATTTTCAGAGCTTCATATTGCAGCAAAGGCAACTGTATACTGATTTTAATTTGCCAGAGTTAACGTTACTCTGATAGATATGTATGTTTGCTTGTGGCAGTAAGCGGATGTTACATCAGGGAATAGAAGCCTTTGCATACTATCAACGTAGATGATAAACGAAAACCCTATGAGAGGGAGTTTACAGTCCAGTATCAAGAGTAAGCACTAGTTATTTTCCATTGTTACTGTCCCTAAAATTATACACATTACAAGAATGATTTGTGGATTTTTTTGCTCCCTTTTCCTATGCTTATGTAGTAGCAATTTATATGTTTGCTTTAGCCCAAATCACTTTGATTTCATTTTCAGAGGCTAACAGAATTACCAATGACTGTATTGATAATCTAGGGGCTATTTTTGTATGCTGAATCTCTTTAAGAGTCTGCTCTGTTTAATATTACAAGCATCATACAAAAGTACAGTAATATGATATTAAGAAAATATAATAAGGTGAGAGTGCATATGTAATTTTTATTTATGCCCCTGAGAGCTGTGCGCAGACACTGATATGACACGATACCCATTAGATTTATTTGTAGCAAGAGTGCTATCTCAGTAATAAAATGATAAGCTGAAGAGCAAGTGATACTGTCACCTACTTCAGTGTTTTCCCTATATTTTTATTTATCTGGTTTTGCTGTTACAAAACTTACTAGAAGCTGAGAAATACAAACAGCATATAGCACATACAACCTAATGTACTGATTTTATTTCCACCTTTTAATTATCAGATTTAATTGCATTGCTTACTACTGTTGTCAATACGATTTAATTCCTTTTGCCACTTACGTTCTTCCCATTTACCTTTTGGTTTGGTTCATTGTATTATTGCACAGTAATGAGAATAGCACTATTCCAAAGGTGAATTAACACAACAGCTAACAGCATGCGGTATCTCTGAGATCTGGTAAAGTTGCATGATTTTTATTTTTTTTTTAAGAACCTTTGTGTGCCTGTGCTTTATGACTGGTGATAATATGCTGCTAAGTCTTTGTTATGTTTTTGTGAGAGATTTGCTTTTTTCCTGTTTCACTAGTTGTTCTCTCTCCTGAGAGAACATTGCATCTACATCCAAAGAAGTTGATGTATACTCACTGTAAACAGTAAGCATCAGAGTGATGGAGAGAAGAACTTAATGTGTTTGTCTTTTTACTGTTTAACTGCAATGTTTAAATATACAACGTAATGACTTTATTTGCCTGCAGATGACTAAGCCATCTATATCCCTACTAATGTGAAAGGGTGGAGGAACCCTTGATATATCCCTCCTGTATAGCAGTTTGACTGTTAACAGATTCTTCTTTCCTATATTCTTCTATTTCATTAATGTTAAGAGTGGTATCTTACGGCATTAAAAATTGTGGAGTTATTCAGGGATGTAATACGACTATTTTCCTCTCTAGGCCTTATGCTCCTTGACCACCACTCTTCTGCTGTAACGAGGGTCATAGAGTGCTTTAGAAGGTCTTTCATTTTGAAAGTTTGTAGTGGTTTAACCAATATCCTGTATGTTTAAGATTGCATAGATTTTTCAATGTGGTAGTTTCTTGGACTAGTAGAACATTTTTAACAGATTAATTACCAGAAGGGGTGCAGTCTCACCCCTCTGCACGGCACAGTCCAAAGAAGCTCACTTATGAGCCTATGCATCAAACCCATAGCTTCTATTTGTGCATTAGCAGTGCTTTCCAGATGTTATCCTGTCTCTTGCTGAAAAGGCTTTAAAGACTACAGAATTTACCATGCACATCAGGTAGTTGCTGCAAAGATTATTTGCTGTGATAGTTTTGTTTCTGCATTTACTTGCAAATCTCCATTTGACTAGTTTCAGCTTCCAACAAATCCTTGGATTTTCTGATACCTTTTCTTTTAGATCAAAGACTCACAATTATGTACTTCTCCATGTAGGTACTTGCAGGCTGGGGCAAAATAATTTCTTGGCTGCTTCTCAGTTAAACCAAATAAACTGAGCTTCTGAAGCCTCTGATGAAATACAATTTTCTAGCCCTCAGATCACTTGCATAACCTTTTTCTGAACCTCATCCCATTTTTAGTCATCTTCTGGAGTTAAAGAGTAAGAAAAAGAAACAGGATTGTAGTAAGTGTCCTGCTGGTGCTGTGAACAGGAATAACCACGTCTTCCAGCTCCTTCTTGATTGTGCTTTTGTATATGGATGCTAAGGATTGCTTGACCTCTTGACTGCATTGTTGTTCAGGGACTTCACGTTCATGAAGCTGTCTTTTATAATACCGCTACACCCCAGGGTATAACCTCCCATCTTTCTAGTGCAGTGTCTATTCCTTGCTTCTAAGTGATTGATTCTACATTCTGTTGTATTAAAACAAGCTTTGTTCTTCTGAGCCCAGTTAACTAAGGGAGAGCAGAGCAGCCTGCACCACTGGCCAGTGCCCGTTGTTAACCCCTCCTTCAAATTCAGTCTTATTTTTGTTTTCTTAAGAGTGTGTCTACTGTCATGTTCTTTGTCCCAGCAAAATTTTTGATCAGTCCATGGATCTGGCCCAAAAATAACTACCCGAATCATGAGGGCACTTCCTTTCAGTTAGGCCATCAGCATCTCCAAGAGCGGGGGGTGTTTTTATTAGCATTTGTTTGCTCAGATCAGTAACAAGAAAATCAAAGGTAAACATAGAGTAAGGATATAAAATAGTAAAGGACAAAGACAAATTCCCTTGATTATGAATCTTGGTCTTCGTTTCCTAGCTTAAGTTTGTACCTGGGGAACTTAGTTGGATGCTTGTCCTGTGAGGTCAAACTGTAGCAGTGGCCATGAGCAGACTTCCCTATAACAGTTGACACAGTTGGGCTATATTTTGGTGACTTTCCCCCCCACACCCCTCAAAAAACCAAAACAACAAACAGCAGTGCAGAATGGGACTGCCATTTCAGCACATTAATGTAGATACTCACCGCAGAGTCTTGGCTGCAAATTTCAAATTATTGCAAGAGAAGGATCTCTTATTCAGCTGCAAAGTCTTCTCTGACATCATCTATGCAGTTGCTGGTGTCTCTTTCTGAAGCTGTTTGGATTCCCTGGGAGCCTGTAGATCACATTCACAAAATTGGTTTTAGGATTTCTAACATTCAGCTGTTAATGTTGTACGCATGTATGTACATACATGTGCATCCAGTGGATTAATCACTTGCTGTATTGAGCTAATTCAAAATGTGTAGATCTTGGACATTATGAAAACATTGAAAGCAGAGAACCAAATTTACATCAGTAAATAAGAAATAAATTCAATCATCTTGGCAATTAAAAACAAATAAAACGGGTGTTGTGAAGGATGGTGTTAAAAGCCATGCTAGCAGCAAGCAGTAGGTTGTGTCATTGCCAAGTCTGTCTTCTAACCTCTGCTTGACCTAATTCTGCTGAATTCCAGCGGTCTGTGCAAGTATGTATTCTCTAGGTATAAGAATAGTAGCAGCAGTTACACTACCTAGAACAAGAATGTACAAGGGCTATCAGCTGTCTTGCCTAGGGGCATGAGATGATCGCCAGCTGAGGTTAAGAAAAAGCGTTTCCTTCCTGTGAGGCATTACATAATTGCCTGTGTGTATTAAGTATTTTGGGGTTTTTGTCTGAAATTTATTATATAAGCCAGTGCTATAGGAAGATGCCAGACTAAGAGACCAGTCTGGCATATGTATTATGGCAATTCCCTTTTATTCTGTTTTTAATGCTGTCCAAAATAACATGAGAGTCACTGTATGTTTCACCTTGTTAGCTTTGCAATGCATTGCTTTTAACACTGTCCTGCCAGCATTGCGATGCAAATTTGACTGCAGCTGAGGAATATCTCTCATCTCCTTGTGGGGAATCAAGGTTGAGCCAAATGAAATGGTTTGTGCTATGGTGTTTTCTTTTATTGCTGTACATACAAAGCAAGTAAAAGTGCTGGCTGCCAGGATCTCGCTAGAGTATTACTGATTCTCCACGTTTACGAGATGCCAATAAAACAGAAGTTATTCTTTTTCATCTTCCAGCTTACTCTTCACCAAAGTAAAACTGGAATGGATACATAAAGGACCTGAAGAGGCTCTGGTGACATGCAGGCATATGTTACAGATGTGGCAGATGGTATATAACGTTTTACAGCACAGGTAGGCTTTCTCCACTCTTTTAACAAGTTCAGATTTCATAATGGAGATGCAGTTATCTTTATTTGTCTAGAGACTTAAGTTATTTTGCAAAAAGGGTAATAAACAGTACTGTTTAAAAAGAAACATAAGTAATATTTCCAACTGTGATTTAAAAAAAAGCAAGATTTTAATAGTCATGATTTAAAATAAAATAAAATAAAACCCTCAAGATTTTAAGATTGAAGAAGCAGTTTGAACCAAGACTTTCTGATCTGAATGTCTAAACATCTCCTTCCATATTCAGGTGTCCAGAATGCAGGGCAGATTTTTCCCCCCCCAATAGTCTGAGCCTCCATCAGCTATTGTTCACAGCCTGCAGTAGTTGGCACCACCCAGGAATGTGTGTGTGGGTGACACAGTCCTGAACTGAGTAAGCCAAGGAAAGGCACACGGCCAAGACTCTATCATATGCTGTGGTTGCATGCCAGTTGCATAGCCTGGTTTTAGCTGGGCAAGGAAAGGAGTGAAGGATGTAGCATCTTTCTGCCTTCCCTTGTCCTAGTAAATCTGCACTTAAACAGTGCTAGGTTCTCTTTTTGTTCCCTCCGTCTCATCTGCTTCCCCTCCAAAAGGAACAGTTTAGAAAGTGTGACAGTTGCCAGGTTGGGTTTTCTTCGTTCCCACATTCTTTGGGTATTGTCCCAGACATGCTACCGCTGTCTAGCTGCCTTGGGAATGTTATCCCAGGGCTGTACTGATCTCCCACCTGTAATGTCCACAGAGGCTGTGTTTGATGGGAAGGACAGCCTGCTTGATGGCAACAGTTACGACGACAGACTGATGAAGCTTGTATTGTTCCCCAATTTCTGTATGCATTTATGTAAGCTTTATAAACACCAGAAGTATATGTACAGAATGATGCATGTCTATATACAAGTTGTCCTTGAAGGATTATTAGTAATTCCTTGTTGGTTTAGCTAATGAGCAGCAGACCAAACACAAAAATCAAGATACACACATAGCAGCAGAGAAACGGTCTCGTACATGCCAGAATTACTGATTTCCTTAGGCCTTAGTCTCTTTAGCTAAGGATTCAATCATGTACCTCTCACATGAGTAATCTTTATACCCATGAGTAGTCCTCATGAAGCTGATCAAATCCATGCTGAACAATTAGGACTAAGATTTACGTTTGCAAGGGAGGACTGCAAGCCTGAGACTGAAGAGAGTACATTGGAAAACAGACAAATAAATTTGGACTGTGTTCAGATCCCAAGCTGTGCTTTGGCTGTTATACTTAAAAACCCAAGATGCGATAGCTTTAGAGGCTTTTGATAAGCTTTAGCCATAGAAGCCTGAACAAAACAAATTGCTTTGCTTTTGCTCTTAGGAACTCTAATGTCTATTTTACTGCTATTCCCAGTGGGACTTTTTGGCTTTCTCAAAAAATACTTCATAAAGAATTTTGTATCGGGAAGTACTGCTTGAACAGTAATGAGAATGAACTTGGCGCCTGCAGTTTTAAACTGGATTCAGTGACCCAGGAAGCCTCTTGTATTAAGCAAATTGCAGCAGTGTCAGCTAACAAATATGTAAAATATTCCAGGATGAGCTTGCAAAGGAACTTAAGGGGAATTCTTATCAGTGAGACTTGGACACAGATATTTTTTAGGGCCTCTTGGAAAAGAGAAGCCTGTATTTACATGAAGTTGAGAGCTGTTGCACCCGATACTCTTTACTAGTTCAATCAGTAGCTAATCACCCACACAATTAAAGTGCATTTAAGTTACATTTGGTTGCATTTGTCTGACCTAAGTTTCCTGGCTTTGCAGTCTTACTATGACTCTCCTAGACTAAAGAGTCTCTCAGGGCCCAATATCTTCTCCTTGGGCAGCTATTTCAAATGCCATGCTCAAGTCCTCTCTTCTCTGATAAACTGGTGCCTCTGCAGTCTCTTACAATCAAGTGTTTCCTTCAGCGATTTTTGTGACCATTTTATGCACTGTCTCTCCTTTCAAAAACATGGGCAGTGGAGTGGCAACACGTCCCACTGTCAGCCTTTCCAGTGTCGTATGCAGAAGGCAAATCATCTGGCTACTGTCCCTTCTGCGGTGTGTGGAAAAGCTTTCTTGGCTGAAGGCCTTGCTCTGCAGCTTTGAAGGAGCAGTAAGTTTTCAGCCCTTCTCCAGCATAACACACAAAGCCATTGGGAGTGGCTGTTTTGCACAATGCAGTCCACTTGGCTTTCAGGCTGGGGTTTCAGTCTCTCTTCCCAGTTAAAAGGCCATGCTGTTGGTGCATTTTTGTTAACTGAGGCCATCTCATCAAGCCTTCTCTGAACGCTGCTCTCTTATGGTCAGTTTTTACCATGGCCAAGCTTCTGCCATCCACTGATCTCCTCACCTGCCCTTTGTGTAGGAGTATAGTATAGAAGGCAGTGTTCGCCTGAACAGTGACTTCATGGTGATGGCTGCTGCATCAAAGCAGCGCTTGCCTCATGGGAGTAATGTTTTGATGTGCAGCTGCCATGTTCCTGCATACGCAACGCACCAGCAAGACAGAAATGCCCCTACGGTTCCACCAGCAGCCCCCAGTCAGTGTAATGACACTTGGGCTTATCCTGGCTGGGCAAGGCAGAGGCACAGGACAGAGAATTTAATTTTCCCTTGTACCTATCACTGCATGATAGTTTCAAATGAGATCTCAGCATGGAAACCAGCATGGAAGACAGGGAGGCCCGGTCAAGGCTGCACATTTGTGCAAACAGTCAAAGGCCCAAGAATTCAGGGTCCTTTAACAGAAACTGTATTGTTTGATCCCAGAGCCTAAGTAAAAGGTTAATTAGCCATTGAAAATATGATTACCACTATGATAAACAACAGTAAGTACCTTTCAGTCCTAGATTGTTAGCTGGGAAGGAGAAGACTTAGTTTATCTCTTGCTACTGTTTTCTGTGATAACAGAATAATCATGTTTAAAACCAAATAGCAGTCCCAAGCTAATTCTTCTGCTAGATTAAAGCAAATTCAAGGGAATCCTGTGCAATCCCTACCAAAGGACTGATCAGACTGGAAGACGGGGCATCCACAGCAAATCGTGACTGTGTGACAGCTTGTTTCCTGGGAGGAACGTTGTCCAAAGGCTGAGCTGCAGGCCTGGAGGTGTGCCAGAAAAAGTAGCCAGGGCAGTCACTTTTCCTTTCGATATTTGTTCCTTAATGGATGATGAGAGGACACATCATCACCATCTGATCCTGGGGGGATGGCAGACTATGTGGTGACAGAAAGGCTCAGGAGATCTTCGTTAAGTGATTTTTTTGTTAGGCACATGATGATTTGGGGGGGAGGGGGAGTTTCCCTTTGTAAGACCTCTCCTGTGAGGACAGAAGTCTAGTAGAAGAGTAGACCAGATAGTGTCCCTTTCGTAAAGCAGTGCTACGTGGTAGCTTTTAGCTTCCTTCTCTGTTTGAATATTACAAAGGTAGAAGAGGAGAAAATAATCCCTTTGAAATGAAGAAATTAGCACCTGGATGGAAGGTGGTAATTGGCCTGTGAACAAATCCTCCTGCAAACAAGCCCAAATGATGGTGGCCCTTCCTGGGCATGGGGCTGCTGGTTGACCTCTTCTGGTCTGGTGTCTAGCTGCCAACATGTTCCTCGTCCAGTAGTTTGCAAAGACTCCCAACAGCCAAATAAATTGATAGTGGCATGTGCCCTGGAGCCCTTGCTGGGCACTTTGTCTGTGAGCTTCCTGACCATTGGCAGGGTGCAGGTGTTAAAATAACACATGCAAGAAGTTGATTGCCTGCAACTGGAAAGCTTCAGTTTTCAGTGCCAGTGAAAGCTAGGTGATACTATTGCCTGCTCTCTCTGCTGAAAGGTGGCCAGGTAATGTGATTTTGTTTCTTTACAGTGCCTCTGAGAAAGGAAGTAGCAGGGTGCAGGTGTTAAAATAACACATGCAAGAAGTTGATTGCCTGCAACTGGAAAGCTTCAGTTTTCAGTGCCAGTGAAAGCTAGCACTGCTCTCTCTGCTGAAAGGTGACCAGGTAACGTGATTTTGTTTCTTTACAGTGCCTCTGAGAAAGGAAGTAGTGTGACCGAAACACCAGTGATCAAAAAGCATAATGGACTGCATCTCACGCTCCCAGATGCTCATGATACCGATTCTGGTGAGGAATCAAAATTTGTGCTTTCCCATCCTAAATGCGTGCTTTTGCGAGAGAGGAATGTTTCATTTTATTTGGTGAGGTGAGGGGCCGGGGGCTGCATGCACATGCATTGCTGAGCATGTGGTTAGGAGGTCCAGACCTGTCTCCAGGGCCATATCTGCTGCAGAATGTGTCACTGTGGTTTGTCTTTGTACCTTGGCTTCCCTGTGCATAAAACAAAGATATGGGTTCCTGCTTTCTTTTACAAAGCTCTCCAAGACAAGCATGAAAGGTATTAGATGGGAGTTCACTATACTTCTGCAAGAATTGTATTGTTCAGTCCATTTTTTTTTCCTTCTTCCCCCACCCCTTAGCCCTCCCCTAAATTTAATCCTTTTTAGATATCCTGATCAAGCCAGCTATTATTGTGGTTTTGGTAAGCTGAGTGAGACTGTGAATTCCTATTAGAAGGTGATTTGGTTTGGGATTTGTACATAAACCTTGTGATACTTTATTATATGGTAAACACACATTCAGAGTAACAGATAAAATCAGATGGAAATAACTGAGACATCAAAGCTAATCTTGGCAGGAGGGGGAAAGGAGGCTTTCAGAGTGCTGCTGACTTGTGATTTTATCATAAGTCTCATGATAGTTGGCGCTTCCTTTAAAACGCTAACCCTCAAAATCAGATGATTATGTGAGAAATTTGCCTTTTAATTTGTTTTTCTCTTTTTTTTAGGGAAGCAACTTTCTACCCTTGTGTATGTAGAGAAACAGTTGCAAAAAATAATCCTCACAGAGTCAGAAACTGGACAAGAATAATATAAAAGCTTATTTTTAAAAAAAACCCAAACTAACACTGAAACAAGCCTTATGCTTTGGGGCTAGGGAATTAGGGTTTGTCTGAGTCTTAATCTTGTACATTTGGAATTGGTAAAACTGAAGTCACATGCTCAGCACATATGGCTGAGATGGAGGATGAGTTCTTACGTGTTAAGTACATGATTTGTATTGAATTATGTGTATTTAACCCCTCCTTACACCCACCAATGGTTAAAAAGCATTGCACGCTTACGTGTTGAAGATACAAGCATTCAAACATCAAAACGTTATTCAGCGTGTCTGCTCTTTTGTTTGTAGTTTTAAACCCTTAGGGTCTATATTTATGACATTGTAATATTACTGATTCTGTACACACATATTTATGTAATTTTTAATCTGTTTATTCCATTTCTCTTTTATTACCCTTTGCTGAGATGAGTCTCTGTTTTGTATAGGTCTTTTTTCTCATTGTTTATATGACAGTGTTCTATAGTCTTTGGCTTAATTAAAGAGAACAGGCCAAATTCAGCACAGATAGATGAAGAGGATATACTAAATGAATATGTGCTGTTTGGCATATTAAAGATTCTCTGGAACAGGGAGTGGCTATGACATGAAAGTTTCCTGGTGATACAAAATCATTCAGGATAGTCATCACTTTGATAATTGTGAAGATTTGTGAAATATCCCCTATCATCCCTGATGCTGGGCAGTAAAATGGACTTTCAGCTTCAGTGAATATATGAAAATGGCTTGGAAGACACTGTAGTTAGTTTGCAGAATCCATCAGCCACTAGGCATTACTAGAAAAGCAATAAAAACAACAAAAAAATTTATTTGCCACGTACTTCTGTTATCCACCCAATTCACACTTTGCTACAGAAACAGTGAGTGGCTTATGGTGCCTCGACTGTGGGGCTGAGCCTGGACTGATCCTTGCCCCTTCAGTTCTAGCTGGTGCTTAATGGGATTTAAAAGGCCTCCTGGGTGTGGATCCCGGTCTTCTGGACATCTCTTGCCTTGCTTTGTAACTGTCTGGAGAAAGGAGTGCAGCCAGGTTTGGGCTGCACCCACTTCACAGCTTGGTTTGAGATTTTGAGTCCAAGGTGGCATGAGCAGAGCCTATAATACTCTGTGCTAGGGTGCCAGCCTTCTAAGACCTCACTCCTGCCTCCTGCTCGCTCCTCCGCTGCAGACCTGTAGCACCTCCTCCAGAGCCACAGCAAAGCTCAGACACATTTGGTTTCAATGTAGTGCCCTTTCCTCAAAAAGCACCTGGATTTGGGTACCTGTTCCAGCCTGCTCTTAGCCTAGTTTTAGC